TAGTCCACGTTGACGAAATTGTGCGGCCGTGCCATTTAATACCGAGGATGGGACAGTCTGTAGATTTGAGGTTGAGAAGCGGGAATGCATATGAGGTGGCGAACGATTTTTATTTCAACGAGTTCATTGATGGCGAAATGTTTTGCGCATGTGTTATAAAGTAATTAGCTACAACGACGTGTCTAATACATACTACGGTTGCCATCTGTAGCTGCCTGTAGCCGCAGTGGTAGCTCCTGTAGCTACCTGTAGCACCCCCCAACCATATAGCCGCCTGTAGCATGGCTTAAGACTATATAGCACTATATAGGTCACTGTAGCGTAAGCCGTGCCTACATAGTGCTACTGTGCCTAAAAAGCGCTATATAGCTGTCACCCGAGCTACGGCATTTTGGGTTTTTTCCTGATGTGGTATGGCCTCTTGTGAGAGCTACCCTCATCCGACATGGTGGTCAAGAGGGGTGGAACTATCATGGTGGGAGAGCTACCCCTCAGGATGGGGGAGCTACTTGGTATTGGGGAACTATTCCCCAAGATGGGAGAGCTAGCTGGCGCCTCGTGTGTGGGAGCCAGTGATTCAACAGTGGATACTCTGAGAAGTCATAGTGAATACCACTTATTTCATAGTAAACATAAACAGACCTAGTCTTGACTGGGGTCACTGGGAAACCAGTCCTCAAGCAGGGGGAGGTACGACTCCTCACAATGGAAGAGTTATCAAGCACCTCAGATGTGGGAGGCGGAGAAATGCTGGAGTTCTTGGTGTGAATGACCACGTAGTACATAAACGATGAATGATGCTCATCGAATAAACATACCTGTTATGCTTGTTCGGGGTTACTGGAGAGCTAGCCCTTAAACTGAAAGAGCAACCCTTCGAAATGGGAGAACTACTAGGCGCCTCAGATGTGGGAGGCAATGAAACACTGGAGTGCATAGTCAGTGAATTAAGCACTCAGGGAAAATGGCTCGTGATAATAAACAGACCTAGCTCTTAAGCTATTCTTCAAAATGGGAGAGCTATTAGGTGCCTCAGACGTGGGAGGCGAGCTGGAGTGCGTAGTGAGTGGATGGGTCCTGCTCTTGATAATAAACGGACCTTAAACTCTTGAAAGACCCGGTACTCCCTGACACAACTGAGCTACCAGTGCTGCTTGTGCAGGGCATGAAATTTTTCAATAGCATGCAAGCCTTGCAAGGTACTTGTTTGTTGATTGTGATATCAGCCTGACAGATGGGAAACTCACATGGTAAGTTAAGTTTGTCAAATTTTGCTAAGTCCAGCAATACTCCGCAACCAGCCATGGCATGGAGCATCTCATTCACAAGAATCCCAATATGTAGATAGAACCAGACCCTCTGTATGTCGACAATGCCAGGAAGACAGCTGACATTTGATGAGCATTGAACTATCTTAATCTTACAAGTTATGAAGCAACCCTTGATATATGCCTTGATATATGGACCATGGCAATGCTGGAAAGACAGTTGCCACCTAGGAGGTGAGTTATCGCAACCCTTGATATATGTTGACAATGCCAGAACAACAGTTGTCACTTAGGAGGTGAGTTATCTAGTACTCATTCACAACGATCCAGAACACTTGATAACGATGACGAAAGTTCAGATTCGTATTTATGAGGGCGTTCCTCAACTCCAGGATTCATCAGCATGTCTCTGTCTCTTTTTGATGTACCCCCATTCAACTGACAATGGGCATACGTTTGCGTGTCCCAACTGCGCAGATACATTTGTAAACAGCGATGATGTTATTCATCATCTGTCGGCTTCTGTTCTCTGCGGTCAATGTGTTGTCCAAGGCATTACTCCAGACTTTGGAGAACACAGTCGTTTCTCACAAGACGACTATGTTGAGGACCCAGAAACAGAGCAAGATGGTACGTATTTCTCACTCAAACAGCAACTAAAGCTCAGCATGCACCTAGTCTATGGGGAATATGAAGGCTTTGATCCCCTGGACGATGTCGAAGAACCCACAATGCCGCATGCCGAATACCCTGCGGTCGGCTTAGCATGTGATGCCCCCCTTGTATCTGTCGATCCCTCCGCAGGTCCACATCCTGGCACAACAAGGGAATATCACCCCAATATACCAATTGCCAAACCCGGCGGGCAAATTCATCTTCAGTGAATGGACGATGACGAACATGCTAATATCCGACATACAGAAAACTTATATTATCCCTTTGCGTCGAAATCTGAGTTCAACCTGGCATGCTGGCTTTCGGGGGGGGGGGGGAATTATCGCAAAAGGAAATTGATGCCTTTCTCCACCTCGAGCATGTAAGTTACCTATCAATTTTTCTTGTACCGGTATATTAATGATAGATAGACGAAGAACAATCCGCCCTCTTTCAATACGTCTAAAGATCTGTGAGCTTGGATCGAAGGACTACCTGAGGTTCCTCGATGGCACCACCAGCAAATCAAGGTTGGTTCCTATAAAATGAAAGCGCCGTTGTTTCTATATTGGAGGGATGGTCTGGACATTGTTAAGCATCTTTTCGCCAACCCAGTATTTGCACCTTGCATGGATTTTCAGGCATACCGAGAATTTGAAGGTCCAGATAGACAGCGAGCTTATGGAGAATTCATGAGCACTGATCATGCATGGGAGATACAGGTGGGCGACACCTACCAATGCTGAGTGCTCACTGTATTAACAATGAATTGTCAGGATAAGCTTCCTCCAGGCCATTCATCCATTGGTGTGATTGGTGCTTCAGACAAGACACCTCTAACGATCAGGACCAGATGTTGATCTCGCTTGCTAATATTCATGCAGGTTTTCATATGAAAGCGACATCACATGTGTTCGCTTTGGTCGCTTACCTCCCAATACCTAAATTTCTCGAGGTCTCGAAGCCCGTTCATGCAATTCTATCCGCACAAGTCTACCATTTCGCAATCTCGATTGTCATGCGTAATTTGAAGATTGCTGCTCGTGACGGCTGCATCATGTCAGACCCAAGAGGAGATCTGCGTATGATTCATACCCCTTTGGTTGCCTGGATAGCTGACTATCCTGAGCAACTCCTCATTGCATGTACTGCCTCGAAGCACTCACCAATTTCCCTCGCTGTCGCTGCACAATTTGGGGACCCTCTTCCACACTCTCCCCGAATTTGTTCTCGCATTCTTGACGCTATCGAAAGGGCCTGCACTATTTCTGACCCTTGCAACATTGCATCCTTCTATAAGGCATCTCAGTCGCTGCATCTGAACGGCGTAGTTGAGCTGTACTGGATGGATTGGGGCGATGCATGCCCATCCCGCTTTTTGACACTGGATGCCCTTCATCAATGGCACAAGTTTTTCTTCGACCACCCTATTACGTGGTCTATAAACATCATGGGGGAGCAGAGCTCGATTGTCGACTATCAGCTCTTCAACCTCGTGTAGGAGTGCGCCATTGGGCAAACGGTGTATCTACGCTGAAGCAGCTAAATGGTCAAGATCATCGAGACCTCGAGAAGCTCCTTCCTGGCGTGATTGTCAGTGCTGTCTCCGATGACGTTGCATCCGCACTATGCGCTATCACAGAATTTATATTTCAAGCTCAGAATCTCTTCCTCTATGACGAAACGTTACACTCGTTAACTGAGGCCTTGCGCGAGTTTCACCACTACAAAGTTTCCATCATAACAGCTGGTGGTCGCCGCAGCAAGAACGGTCCCCTTAATCACTTCCAGAATCCTGAAACTGGAGTTGATGCAGCATGTCGTCCGGAGTACTTGCACCATGGGTGCCCCATATCAATGGAGCAGCGATATCACCGAGCACTGTCACATTACCCATGTGAAACGGCCTTATCGCATGACTAACCACAAGGATTTCCATGGTCAGTGCTGCCGCTTCCTCGACCGACAGGAAAAACTACAGTTCTTCCAGCTCTACACAGTTCTGAAGTCACACCGGGCAAGTTTAATATACGAAATGTCCAGGGAAGCAAACGCAATGGCTCTCCACTATCCCGAAGCGACCTGGATCTCCACTGTTCTGCCTGATGAGCAGTATGTCAGCGCCGGCAAACCAATCATTTCACTGTTCACCAAAGATTGTTCTCATATCTCTTCTGATGATTCTGTTGCAATCTTGCTTACTCTCCGTCCACATCATTCCCACCTATCTATTGAAGAAAACATCTCAACTTTTTCACATTCCTGATCTCCGTCCAGCGCTGGGTGATCTGATCTCTGGTAGATCTTACCTCAAGTGCAATGGAAGACGATTTTGTCGCCCTAACTGCTCCCTTTCCTTTGATCACCTTCGCGTTTGGCAGAATTTCCGCCTGCAGCGGTGCTCTACTCAAGATAGCCATATTGTTAGTCCTGCTCAGACCGTTCAGGCGCTACCACCAAACTCTTCGATGCCATTTGGAAGAGGAAAACACTGTCCTTATTGCTCATGAAAGTGGTGAACTGCTTTCCCTAGCAGCGTCTGAACGTACGTGTAATCCTTTTGTTTGCAACTTTCTAGATTCTCACAGAATGCTAGGTTATGCCGTTGTCCAAGTCAAATCTATCCTCCAGCCTATTACTAAAGCCCCCCATCTGAACCAGCCTTTCCTCTATGTCGATTTCTTCAACTTCTCGCATTCATTAGCCAACACCTTTGATGGTGTTCGTATTGTCACTCCTGCGCCTGTGACTGATATGTTCTTAGTTCACCGTCATGTTCGATCAAACAACACTGCTTTGGGGGACATAGTACCTCTGGAAAGTGTGCATCAGGTTATCCAGCTAATTCCCAAGTTCGGTCAACAGGTATCAGCGAGCATGAACTGCGACAATAGTTTGCAGCTGGCGCGGGAGTTTTATGTGAACAACTTCGCAGATAAAGAGACCTTTCATGCTATTCTCAGTTACCAGTAGTTTCTTGCGCCTGTACCATCCGAGTCGCTTAGTAGAGTCCCTCAATCCCAAGATTTTTGCCTGGCAAAGCTATTGATTGAATGGCAAGCAGTCACGGTGATCATCTTATCATCCCACAAAGATTATGATAAACTCTTAATCATGATCGCTTACTGAAAATTACGGATACATTGCGCGTGTTCGAAAGTCCCGGAGCCAGTACGGAGGTTTTACTATTACTGGCTGTTACAAGCTGTTACAAGTTGCTACGGTCGATTCAAAAGAAGCGCTGTGCTACAAGTTGTTACGAGTCACTTCGCTCGGCAGTGGTTTTCCTGATGACTTTCCGAAAAAACTCGAGTCTAGCAATTCCTGGACTATCCCAAACTGAGCGCTGAGCGCTCAATGTGCGGGCAAAGTTGTAGATCTGGCAGGTACTTCGGTCGCCGCATCCGAGGCGGATCCGCTCTTGCAACTGAGGTTTATAATGTGCGTCAAGTCGTGCCATCTTCATCACCCTAGTCAAGGATGCTTGTTACTGTGCGATCTGTGGGATTGAAACTGTCCACTAAAGCCAATCTTTTGGCCGTGTCGCATGTTTGCTTGCGCTAGGAGCGTTGTCTTCTCCGGCAGTCACCGTATCTGCACCCATCGTCAATTTGGGTTATGCCCAGTACCAGGGATCAGTTGACATGGTGACAAACATCACCAGCTTCCTTGGAATACGCTACGCGGCTCCTCCAGTCGGTGCGTCTAGTTCTGTTTGTTCCACACATTCTCAGCTCACGGACCAACCGCATAGGCGACTTGAGATGGGCAGCTCCGCAGCCTCCATTGGCTGTCTCTGGGGTTCAACAAGCTACCACGCAACCAAACAGATGCAATAAAGCACCCACAGGCAACTCTTTGACAAATCCGTTTGAAAGCACCTCTATGAGGAAAAGGGCTATTAGTCAATCTGAAGACTGCTTATTCTTGAAGTAAGCCCTGTCGTGGAACGATGATGTTGACATTTATAAACAGTGGTTGCATCCGGCAGTGTATACACTCCTGGAAGTAAAGTGGTGGCCACTCCGGGAGGAGGGCTGCCAGTTGTCGTTTTCATTCATGGTGGGGGATATATTACAGGAGCTGCAAGCGTATTCAATGGCGCAGATCTAATTGTGGACTCGAATCACGGTGTCATCACTGTCTTAATCCAGTACCGCCTCGGTTTATTCGGTATGTTTTCGCTTTTCTTCTCAGTTCCAGATGCGTACTAAGGTGTACACACTGTCGATTAGGTTTTCTTCCTGGGAAAGCAGTCAAGGAAGGGGGTGCACTCAATGCTGGACTACGTACGCAATTATCATGATCTGGCAGTCATTCGGGTTCAACTGAACCTGTTTTAAGTCGACCAGAATTATGCATTACAATGGGTGCAGGCCTACGTGAGCAGAACTTTTTACTTGCGTAGTATACCCCAGCTGATAGGAAGCTTACCCGGATAGATAAGCAGCTTCGGTGGCGACCCCGCGAAGGTCACAATTTGGGGGGAGTCCGCTGGTGAGCTGCGCTAGGTACTCTTCGTCGTCATCATCTTTATTTACTACGTTGTTTCAGGTGCCGGTTCAGTGCTACAACATATCGTTGCTCATGGAGGAAACACGCAGCCTCCCCTCTTCGAAACCGCCCATGACGAGTTCTACGTTCTTACCATCCCAATACAAACTATAATGACCGAATTCCGGAGGTGATTCTTGTTCATGAGGACGATGTATGCAGGGTCCTGAATACCACTATCAGATGTTGTATAGTGAGGTCGTCAATGGAACGAAGTAAATCCTTTGAAAAACCGCCATTCCATATCTAATTCCTCAACTTGCAGCTGTACCTCAAGTTCAGATACCCTCTCTTGTTTGCGCGCTGCAGACGTCAATACGCTGCAGACCTTGAACTATAACATCAATGTCAACGGGTTCTTTGGCACGTTCGTATTCGTCCCTGTTGTGGATGGCACTTTCATCTTGGAGAGGCCTACCGTGACGATAAGGAAAGGTCGTTTGAATGGCGTACGATCCACGAATTCATCTATCTCACAAACGAACTGAGACCCTTTCTCTTAGAAATATCTCCTCTCTATGACCAATTCGCATGAGGGCAACGCTTTCGTCGACCAATCGATGACATTGGATGTTGCAGATTATGTCAAGACGCTTTTCCCGAATTTCGGTTCTGCTCAAGTTGCTGGAGCGGGTGACAATGTACGAGAACTACGGAAGTAAACGTTAACCAGGCAAATCTGCGATGGGTGAATGTATGTGTATTTTTGAAGCAATGATCAATGCCCCTGATTTCATGGGTCGTTTTAGGCAATATTCGTTTGCCCCACTTATTATCTCCTTTTGGCATTTGGAGAACGAGCTTGGAAAGTAAGTTCGAGGCAACTTGCAATCTATGTATACTCAATACAAACAGGGCGAGTTTGCAATCCCGCCTGGCCTGCATGGAAGTGATGTTGCATACTACTTCACCTCATATGGGTAAGTTGAGGCAATGGGTCAACCCCTACTTTGACTGTATACTGTTTCAGGGGTGGTCCTCCATACAACAATTCGCAGTTCATCACTGCTTTCTCGAATTCATTCATGGCTATGGCCATGTTCGAGACTCCTGACGACAGATACACCCCGGGAGATATCACACCTTCCTGGACATCTTGGCAATATGATTTGACAGAGATGAAGTTCAACGAGACATTCGCGGGAGTGCCCGACATTTACACTTTTAAGACTGATAGCGCCTTGCTGGAGCGTTGCGCGTGAGTGCCATATTTATGATGAGACAAGGTGCTGAGCTAAAGGCATGTAGCTACTGGCTGGACGTGTCGGCGTATTCAGCGCAGTGAATGGAAGTTGAGCGCTGCTCTGGTATCTGCGTGAGCTGAATAGTCCTGCAACATGTTTGTCAGCCGTATATCAGCTTGTCACATGCTCTAGTCATAGGATTATCCACTCGCCAAGTGAGACTCGAGGGATGAAATCTGATTGATCGAAGTAAGTGTTTCATCATGAATCCCAGTAGAAAGAGGTGCACCCAGGGATATCGATGGGATCAAGGTAAAGTTGTCGGTGAAATCGCAAAGCAGTGACTCGCGCGGAATGTTTGAACGCTTGCAAAAGATCGGAGAACTGTTTATGATTTCGGTAACCTGCCAGTACGATCTCCGAAGTATTCTCTTGATATTCGGTATTTTTTGTACAGTTGAGGGGTTCGGCCTCGGCCCATCAACGGCACCAGAACGGAGCCTAAGTCGACCTCGTGCCAGACATTGTCAATTATGACACGGGCAGAATACACAACCTTTCTTCTAGTCCACGTACACGCTGATTAGTACAAATGCGACGAAAAGTACATACATGTGTTGTATCCAATTCTTTGTCACAAAACACGATCGGCGTGTGTAGCGACGAGGGGAGTCGTGCAAAACAAAGCAGGTGAATGTTTCCGTATACCTTCATCTTGGACGATGAATTAGCGTTCTAATCGGTCCTGCAATTGACTTGTGAGTATTCGCTATCAGGTCAAGTCAGATTATTTAAGAGCAACGAAGAGCTCACGCGGGTCCGGATAAAAGTAGGACAGGATATGAATCGTCTGTGCAGGTCTGTGCACGAAGAAAGCCCGGATGGATGATCTGTGGTAATTAATCGCATGCGTCAATGATAATGTCAAACAGTCCGAGAGACGATGTTGAATGGACAATGAAACTTTGTCTTTTGACTCATACTCACCCAATAGCAGTTTCGCCTCGACTACTATAGCCGCCGTGCACACAATGCAGACTTTGGCATTTAATGTACATAAGCCCTGATCAAATGACGCATATTGAAATCGATCCTCACGTCTTCAAGTTGTAAGTGCACTACATTGTGCAAGTTCGAAGTGTGAGATAGGACTGAAGTGAGTTTCGAAAAGGGGAAATATGTACACCACTACAAGTCTGCTACTGACAGTATGAACGAATGAGAGTTTATATATGTAGTACCAAGGGGGTGGCGTTCTAGGGCAGCAATGTAATGATCAGATGTAAAGAAAAGGGGTTTCTCATCGCCAGGGGAATACAACTCCCTACAAAGTTACTCGACAATAAATATCAAATTCATGTTTGAGGGTTCAAGATTGCATTGTCTCTATCAATTCGCTGCCCACGAGGCACGAAAAAAATCATCAAGACTCTAGACAGTGACCACATTGGTCAAGTCAGCAACGAACTACGTATTGCATCATCAGTCACAGTACCAATGCGAAAGCAGAAACACGACTCACTGTCCAGACGTGCTCATAGACAGGCTGGTAGCTCATCGATCACTTTAATTCTTGGCGCAAGTATAGCCCCGCAACCCATAGGGCACACAAGTAAAACCAGAGCAGTAAATGCGAACGCCTAACTCGCAAATACCGTTTTCGGGAACGCATGCGGTGATAGACATACATGCTGCCAAAGCAGTAACGACGAGGAGGAGGAGGAAGTGCATAGTTATACGAAGTGAGACAAGAGATTCTGGCTTACTGAGTTGGACAGGCCTAGGGCTTGCCTTTATATCCCGGAAATAATGTCGTGGGGAAAACTAAACTTGCAAGTTTTATCATGTGGCAGATTGCTGGCGCCTGGATGGTTCACGATCGATGATTCAGTGGAGCCCCAGAATCAGTAGGTAACAAGCCAGAATTTGAACACATACTCATTGAACTTTAAAAACACGTCCCGAGTGATGGAATTGCATAAGCAAAATGGCCTCTGCGAAGTCCCGGTTACGGATAGAGAGGTCAGATAACAACTCACAGCAAGCTTGCGATAAAATTGAATGTGTAGTGACGGAATGAAGGTGAAGGAACATCACTCAATTTCTCCCATATATTCTGAAGTGCATCACCTACAGCTAGACGAGATCAACTGTTAAATATCAAACTCCATGGATACTTATGCTGCTCCCTTCTGCTGGCTGTTCAGGAGGGTTCACTCCATGAAGATACGCGAA